GTGACCCCAGAACCAAGATCAGTCCCTGGCACATAGTAGTTACTCAATAAAGACTAGCCGGTAGCAGTGTCCTTCGTAATAATTGCTAAAAATTAGAATCAATCAAGAGGTCCTCCAGTAGGTGAATGAATAAATAAACTGTGGTACATCCAGACAACGGAATGTTCTTCAGCACCAAAACAAATGAGCTAACAAGCCACTGAAAGATATGGAGAAAATGTAAATGCATACTATTAAGCGAAAAATGCCAGTTTGGAAAGGCTACGTAATGCATGAATCCAATTATAAGACTTTCTGGAAGAGACAAAACTAAAGGATCAGTGGCTGCCAAGAATTCAGAAGTGGGAGGAATGAATAGGTGGAGCATGGAGAATTTTTAGGGCAGTGAAAATACTCTGCATGAGATAATAACGGATATAAGTCATGTACATTTCTCCAACCCATAGAACGAATACCACCAAGAGTGCATCCTCATGTGCACTGTGGACTCTGGGTGGTAATGATGTGTCACTGTAGTTTCATCAATTGTAAACACATGTACTATTCTGCTGGGGGATGCTGATCACAGGGGAGGCTGTGCATGTGCCGGGCAGGGGATATTTGAGAAATCTCTGTGCCTTCCTTTCCATTGTGCTGTGAACTTAAGCTGCTCTTAAAAAAAAAAAAAAAAAAAAAAAAAAGAACCTTTAAAAAAATTAATCAAAGTCTGTTAATTAATTACAACAAATAGATACTAAAGAAATGAATAAACCTTTTTTCAGACATCACTCCTTCGTTTTTTTTTCTTTCTTTTAATGAAAGCCAAAAGGCCATCTGCTCATTTTTTTATGAGAAGTCCATAAAATAATGATGTGTCCCGCAATTGATGGGCTTATAGATTCAATGAAGGACAGGATATAGAGCAACTGTGCTGAATTGTACCTCCGGCTGTCTTGGCTTTTCCAGCCCCACTCAAGGCAGGTCAGCCTGCAAGCATAGCATACATGTCTCAAAGGCTCAAAACCTACTCGCATTCTCGGGGGTCCCACTGAGTCCCCAAGAGCACTGAGGAAACAACCACTTGACAGTATCCCATATTTTCACAAATCTGTCTGCCCCACACCACTGCCATCAGCTCAAAATGACCGTTCCTACATTTTCTCTAAGTCAAAATCTCTCCCTTCAAAAGGCCCACGTTCAGAAGCTCCCTCCCATAAGACTTTCCCTGGTTCCCCATGATGATATGAACACGCCTAGTCGACATTGATTTCATCCCACCTGGTGTTATTAAGTCAGTCTACTTATAGCCTTCCACATTAGACCTAGAACTCCCTGAGGTCAAGAAATACTCTTCCTCATCTCCACATTGCTCTATTTCCTGCAGAGAGCTTGGCTTATCAAAGATATTTAATCAGTTCAACAAACTGATTCAAACGTCCCCCCATCCAAGGCAATTGGTCCAGAGAATCTTCCTGCACTACACAATCCATTCTAGATTAAAATGCCAAAGACCGGAAATCTGGAAATAGAAAAAAAAAAAAAATCCAATAATTAATTTCAGAAAAAAGTAGAATTCCAAATCTCTTAAAATACAATTCTGAAATCCTTTAAAACATGCAAGCCTTATTAATTACTCTGCAAATACTCGTCTCAGAGACTGTCCACATAATGCCTAATTCCTAATGATTATTGGACTGAATTTGTAGCTGACTTCCTCATGCTTAAATTATAAAAGATAAAGATGGAACAATGACATTGCGGAAAGAATCTCCTTAATTGTACCACTAGAGCTAAAATACCCTTTCACGCATATAACTAATTCAAACCTTCACTATTTCCTGTAAAACAGAAATACTTAAATGCCATTCAAAAAGGTAGCAAAACAAATAATACACACACACACACACACACACACACACATACACACACACTGGAATATTCTATGACACCACTCTCTAAAGGATTTATGTCATTTCTGGCCAGAGAGAATACAGGAAATCAGCCAATACGACAGTTTCAGCGACCAACGTAAGGAAACTGGAAATGACCCAGAAGTAGGGGATACCCAGGACCACAGGAGATGAGAAATACAATCAGGACTGTCAAAGCAGAAGTCATGAGGAGAATATTCGGGAGCCCAATCCTTCTTTCTGCCCTCCCAGAGTAACTGGTAGAATCCTAACCTAAAACCCAAACAGGGGACCTTGAAGGAGCAGACTCAAAATTTGGACCTGGATTATATCAACAGATGTCGGTGAAGACCCCAACATCACCTGTCACCAACGAGGCCCTAGAGAATCCCCACTACACATCGCAGAGGAGTGTCATTACAAACGGTTCTGCTGTTGTGAAGTGGTCAGCTGGGAAAAAAGGAACAGGTGGGAGAGGATGAGGAGGTGACTGGCTGTGGCCTTTGTACCCTGGACACAAACTAGCAGCAGAAATAAACGCTGGTGCTTTCGAGACCATTTGCTCTGTTTACCAATCTCTTATTCTTTGCAAAGCAACCATATCCGTGGGGAGGAGGGAGGCAGAGAAAGGAATTTCAAAGACGTATCACAAGGCTCTTGCCCATGTGAGGTAGGCTGTGGGTGACAAGCTTGGGTGCCCTGGCTCTTTTTGCTGTTAATTGCCCACAGAATCTGAAATCTCTCTCTTTGGCTGAAACCCTGAGCCATCTCCCTTTAAGAGATCAAACCCTTTCTCCAGAAGAAGAAGATCGAGATTCACATGCAGCAAGAATAACACCTCCCCATGAATCATCCTCAGGAGACCAGTAAAAAAAAAATGATAGTGGGTAATAGCAAAGGTGATCACCGCAAGGAAGTTTCACTTGAGAAGTTACCACCACGCTCAAGATCCCTGGTGCCTCTGTCAACAGAGAAAAGCATCTGCCCAGCTGGCCAGGTGTTGACTAACAACGCAAACAATCCCCCGCGCTGGCACCATTTGAGTCTCCCGCCGTCCAAGGCACCCTGTGCTCCACACCATGGGGCCAGGGGCAGCGACTCCATCTTTAGTCCACATAGCTCATGAAGAAACGTAACCGACAAAACAGTTTTAAACAATCATGTCCTGGCATGGAAATTATGTAAATCGTCAGGGATTTTACTCCTGTTCCGAATGTAAACCTATGTTGAACTAAAAGATCTTCATTTAACTTCTTGAGCTTTCTCTAATTTCATAGCACTTAAATCTACCACTTTCTATTGATTTTGAATTAGTTGAATGGGTTGAAATGGCAGCTTCAGTCACGGCAAAATGGCACAGATGTGTTTTCAGACCAGCCATGTTCCTCCTCAGTGTTCTGGACAGAGACCTCCTTGTCTGTTCTTCCAGGAGTCCCTATTTCTGCTGGTGAAACTGCCTTCCTTGGAATTACACAGGCTCTTCACCTTGGCCTCTCCACGGACACCTCCCTTTGCCTGGCCTCGGCCTCCTCCTTGACTGTTACTCCAGATCTGATCAGTGCCAAACCTGAAACTCCTCCACCTGCCCGTGTGCATTCCTTCCCCTCTGGTCCGGCCACAGCCACCAAATCTGGCCTCCCCAGGACCCGCCTCATTTCATGCTGGCCTCCCTGCCCCAAGTCTTGTTCCCTCCTTTCTATGTTTCCTTGACATGGCTTACAAATCAACCTTCCAGAAAAAGGGATCATGCAATTTCCTTGTTCAATACCATTGAGGACTCTCTCTCTCTCTCTCTCTCTTTTTTTCTACTTTCTAGTATTTTATTGCATGGTTTTTAGGAAGTATGCAGAGAACTCTCCCCTAATGTGGAGAAAGTTCACACTCCTCAGTCTGTCCTTTAAAGCCTGGTCACATCCAAACAACTCAATGTTAAATCCCACTGCTGCCTCTTATAATCTCAGTGCACCAACCCCTCACCGACCTCTGCACATGCTTAGAACAAGTCCACTGTCATTTATGCCTGCAATGCCCCTCTGTCTGTACCTTCAAACCATCCCGTCTTCAAGGTTCAGGTGAAACATCCAATCTCCAAAAGCCGTCCCTGGCCACCTAAAAGGATCTTTCATTCCTAACTCTATGATGACAGATACTTTCCTTTGCGAGGCATTGATGTTTCTCCCCCCACTCTCCCCATCTCCAACACATGACCTCCCTCTGCTGGGAATTTCCTGGGGGCCGCCCTCTGTGACTCTCCCTGCATCCTCCACCGGGACTAGCAACCTGCCATGCCTACGTCTCTGCACAACACCCAGAAGTTTGTACCAGCTTAGATGTCCACCTTTCCCTTCTCCCACACCCTGCACATCAGGTAGAGAACTTTCCCAAGGAAAACACAACTTCCCTGCTACAATACCAAAACAGGTCAAGGCTGCCACTCCATCACAACTCTTCCATTTTTGAAATCTTTCGGAATGAGCTCAGTTGTCACAGGCTGCACCCTGCGGAAAGGTCAGCCCAGAAGGCAGAGGATGTCACTTGGGCAGGACCGGGGCTGTTCCAGGCTGGTGACCACAGGCTGGGCGTTTTGTGCCCCTAGAGGGTTAGGACACACAGCAGCCGGTCGCAAGGGACGCAAAGGACCAGCGCTTGGGCGTGGGGCGGGCGGGGCAGAGTCCCGGGAGTTGGACCCTGTTGAATCCCGGCTCCAAACTTTTCCCTCCGTCAGCGCGGAGCCCTCCACCAGCCAGGACTGGCTGACGCCGCGATGCCACAAAAGCCGGGACCGGAAGAGAAAAATGCGTGGGACGGGGACGGCAAAGGTGGTTATTTTCAGAACTTCGGGGGCTCCCGGGCCGGCCCTGGGGGTTCCCGAGCGTGCGAGGCCAGCGTGCGGCCGCCCGCGGGGCCGGACCGGCGCCCGCCCGGGAGCGAATGGGCAGGGTCGGGATGCAGACGCCGCTCCGGTGCCGGTGCTGATGCTGCGGCCGCCGCGCGCTGACAGCCGCTCCACCACCCACCGCGCCGGGCCGCGGCTCCGCGCCCCCGGTCCGCTCCGGCCCCGGGCAGGGCCTGCGGGCGGCGGCGGGCGGCGGGGCCCAGGCCGCTACTCACCCGGAGGGTTGACCGCCGCCGGGGTTGCCATCTTGCTCGGAGAGGCTCGGCGCGCGCCGCCGGGGGCGCGGGAGGGGCGGGCGGAGCCGGCGCGCAGCCCCGGGGACCCGGGCAGGCCCAGGCGCCGCCGCCGCCACACAAAGGACGGCGCGGGCGGGCGGCGCTCCCTCCGCGCTCCCCGCAGCCGCGGCCGCCCGCCCCGCCTCCCGGCCCGGCCTCCTCCTCCCACCTCAGCCTTTGTCGCGCGGCGGGGGGCGCCCGGCCGGAGCGGTAGCACCGCGAGACTTCGGGCTGCGGGCGGCGGGACCCCCAGGTTGGGCGCCGCCGACTGGCGGGGCAGAGGCCGGGGCGCCCCCTCGGGCCCGCGCACGGACCGCACGCGCCCCTCCCGCGCTCGCCGGGCCCGGGCCGCCCCCGCGCGCCCACGCTCCAGGTGTCCCGGCGCGCATCACCCGGGGGCGCCGTGCCCAGGCCAGGGGGCCGGCGCGGGGCGGGTGGGGGAGAAGCCCATTGAGATTCCGAGGGAAGCGGGCCCTGGGAGACGGCCGCGAGGAACAAAGGCGCCCCAGAGCTGCCCACTTAGCATGCCAGAGCCGCGCGGCTCGGCTCCCAGGCCTGGGACGCGGCCCGGTGCGCAGCGGAGGGCGCCGGGCCCCGGGGACTCCGAAGGCCACGGGCACCTCCAAGGCCACACAGCTTCGGAGTGCACGGCGCATACGCCCAGGCACGGCCGCCGGGCCCCGGAGATGGCGACAGCCTTGGCTTTGAGTAAGGCGCCCAGCTCTCCCGTCCTTCTTGCCATGATGACTGCCCTTCGTTATGACCTGAGGGCGTTGCAAGAGCCTTATTTACACCGCCAAGTTGAGAATTTAAAAAGATTTTTTTTTTTTTTAAATGTAGGTTTATCTGCGTGTCCTGGTGAAGTTAGGATGCAGAGAACTTGGAGCGGTTGTTTTCTACCAGACACGAGGATCCCTGTGAGAGGTAATGGCCCCTAGGAAGGACACGCCACCATCGTGGTCCTCTGTAAAGGTTAAATGGAAGAATAAATACATCCCAGGTGAACGCTGAGAAGGGCATGATGGCCCCTAAACGCAGGCATGTTTGCAGAACCATCAGACTATCTTAAATCCTTCCAAAAAAGCATTTTCTGGAGGATAGAGAAACAATGTTTGGGGTATATGTTCAAATAAGCATTCTCCACTTTGGGAGGCCGAGGCGGGTGGAACACAAGGTCAAGAGATCGAGACCATCCTGGCCAACATGGTGAAACCCCGTCTCTACTTAAAAAAAAAAAATACAAAACAAATTGGGGTCTGTCTGGGGGAAATAGGGGAGGGACAGCGGGGGTGGGAGTTGGGGAGAGATAGCATGGGGAGAAATGCCAGCTATAGGTGATGGGGAGGAAGGCAGCAAATCACACTGCCATGTGTGTACCTATAAAACAATCTTGCATGTTCTTCACATGTACCCCAAAAAGTAAAGTGTAATTTTAAAAATGCGAAAATTAGCTGGGCGTGGTGGCACCCACCTGTAGTCCCGGCTACTCGGGAGGCTGAGGCAGGAGAATTGCTTGAAACCAGGAGGCGGAGGTTGCAGTGAGCCGAGATCGCGCCACTGCACTCCAGCCTGGCGCCTGGCGACGGAACAAGACTCTGTCTCAAAAAAAAAAAAAAAAAAAAGCATTCTCTTCGGGGAGTATTTGTCACTACCAATCTATAGTTTTATCAATTCCACAAATGTTGAATGTCTGCTGTGTGCCAGACACAAAGCCAGGTGTTGGTATACCATGGAAAGAAAGATGTCAGGAGCTCTGTTCTCCAAGGGCTTCTAGTCTGGGGGTAGGGTGGGAAGGAATGAAACAAAGTATCTGTGCTCAAGCAGCACCCAGCTGCCTTGGGGCTTCCATCAGAAGCCCTGAAATGGGCATCTCCAGCCTGTGGTCACTACTGAATGAATGAAGGCAGACAGGAGGGGGAGCATCTGGGGAAACCCAAATTAGGCTTTGAAGAAAAGAGCAGGACAGGTGGAAAAAGAAGACATTTCAAGTGAAAAATAAAGCAGATGTGCACCCAGCCACAAGATAGGCCAGACCCAGATAGGAGAAACCAGGATATCAGCTATGGCCCGCCCCCATGCCCCATATCGAAGCTGACTGTTCCTGATTCCAACATCAAGCCAAATGAGAATCCAGCCTCTCTTCTACATACTCGGAAAGGCAATACACTCAAATACCGACTTAATTAATGCATAACATATACTGGACTGAAGATTTCTTAAGGAAAGTACAAGAGGAGCCTCTCCTCACTCTACATCAAACAAGTAAAACTCCAGCTCGGATATTTCTGCTGCCCAGAGTCCCTTCTGGATCCTTCTCCCTACAGGCCATTCAGTCTCTGGTGGCTCATCTACATAAGTAGCACTTGGCATCACTGCCTCCTATCCCACGAGGCTCTTTTATTCTCCAACTTTCCACACCCCTTAGAAGCAAGCAGGTTCCTCTCCTTGGTGTTTATGTTTAGCATTTCAGCCAGGTTTAGCATTTCAGCCAGGATCTATGGCTCATTTTGTCTCCAAATACATTTCTAATATTCTCCATGAAAATAAAATGTGAGTGAACACAACTCTTACGCACACACACATTTAAACATACAGATTTTTGACAAGTTTTACCTTCTTACCCTGCTGTTGTGTTCTGCCCAATTTTCTAAATGTCACTCAGCTAATATCTTTAATACTGGATCTTGCACAAGCTTCCTATTTCTTGCACTGGTTGTTGCCATAAAAGACAAGTGACATGTGGACAACTAGATACTTCCCATAGTCTGGAGTCTGCCATGCTGTGAGTTTTGGTGTGTAATAAACACGTTTAGATTTTAGCAAAGGAAACGTTTTATCCTCTCCCCCAGTCACTGGATTTCGGAGGTACAAAGGACCTTTGACATCATCCAATTCTGTCCCTAGAATTTGCAGATAAGGACACGGAGACTCAGGGTAGCCAAGGTCATGCAGCTAAATGGCCAGACAAGATTTAGAACTGGGATTTGGTGGCTGGGGATGGGATTTGGTGGCTGGGGATGGGGAGTGGTTAGGGTGTCAGAGAACAGACAGAGAAATGGATGACTCACCTCTCTCTTGTCTCTCAGTATTAAATAGGTTAAATGCTCAGACACACTGATTGTGGATGAAAACACCCCCCACTTAGGTAAACAGACTGAAATGGAGTGGTTAGTCATTGTTGCATACTGAGTGGCATTTACATAAAACAGTGGTCTGGTGTTAATTATGAGTTAGTAGACTGTGACCAGTTAACACCGGCTCAGGAATTCCACTCAACCTTTAAACAACCTAGAACTCTTTGAAATTCCAAAGGAGGCTGTTGAATTTGAAGCTGAAATTTGCATTTTTGGAAAGATTAATGCAGACCCACTGGGCCCACAGCACCCGATTGTGGGCACAGCGCTCCCAGAAATGACCAGAGAGTCGACCAGCCACCGTGCTGATGCGTACCAGGGTCCACGGCCTTTCTTGCTTGCTTCTTTTTTTTTAAGTTGGCGGGAGAAAGCAGCCACCTGAGTTCTGCTTCACATCCCTTTAAGTCCTAACACTAGACACAAAGGATCTCCATTGTATAATATGTACTGATCCAAGGCAATTTTATCTTCTTTTGACTTCACTTTAAGATAGCAAGAGGCCAGAAATGAAAGCACAGCCTTCTGCAGGAGAGGAGAAATAACCACAGGCTCTCTCTCCATTCTGCATGTGTCCTCTTAACCCTCCCTTCCTCCTCCATTCTTTCTAACTTCTCTCTTTTCTGGAGAGAAAGGCTCATGGGTCCCTGTTATCCCCACTGCCACCTCCTTATCTTTATCTCTGTACAGGTCACAACTGCCCACAGGCTGTCTGTCCAGGCACCACCCGTGCCTTCTCCTTTCCACCAGGAATCATGGACTTACAACAGATCAAAAGTGGATGAGATCTTAGTTTTAGACAAAAAGGCATAAACACCAGCCTTTGAAGCAGAAAGCATGGTATAGGTTTTTGCTCCGTCACTTCATGAAACTTCTCTAAGCCTCACTTTCTCCTCCCGGGAAGTGGGGATGGTGTTACCTACTATCTTGAGTTTTGGTGAAGATGACATTGAATGAAGTAATGTGCGTGCTGTCTACACTTTAGAGACCTTAAAACATATTACGATAGCATTGCGGAGGGAAGAAGAAAAGTAGGGCGAGTCCCTGTCCCACAGAGGTAGGAAGGGGAAGCTCATTGTGCTTGCCATTTATGGAGAGTGGGGAGAAGGAAGGAAGGAGGGTGGAAGGAGAAACAGTGAATCAGACCCAGGTGCTGTGATTTCTGTGGAAGGTATATCAAGCCAGCTGATGGAACAGCCAAAAGCAGAGGCGTTTCTGGCCACCGCCCATGTGGGAGTCTTGGGGAAGATAACACACAGGGTGGTTCTGCAGGGACTGAGGGGTGTGGCTGCAAACCTGGGCCCGTGATATGGTGCTCCTGGCTCTCAAGGCTCTGTGAGGCGTGCTAGATGTCCCACAGGTGAGGGGACATGGAGGCACTGAGGGTCTAAACTAACAGATATCTGGGTGAGGACTAAGAGGCTATAGTAGGCAGCATTAAATAAACAAAGGCCCCAAACCGAGGCCACAGATATCAGCTCTCAGTGAGAGGCCTCCTAAAGACACCTTAATGGTCACCGGCCAAGTGACCATCCCAGCCCCTCAGAATGGAGGTGGGCAAGACTCTAAGGCTCCCGTCTCTCCCGCCACTCCCTCCATGACCACGTAGACACCACCCTGAAGGGGAGCTGAGCGTGAATGGGAAAGGACCTGAAATGACAGTGTGCTCACCTGGGTGATGCTAAGTTTTCTAAGAGATGGGGTAAAACAAAGAAATACCGTGAGCTCTCAAGGTTGGAGTTGATTTGGTTCAAATGAGTATGAGATGAGTGTAAGGCCGGCTACCTCGCCGGGAGGCCGGACACACCCACCTCAGCACTCAGCACCTGACTCTGCACCCACCCCCACAGCACCAGGCTCTGCACTCGGCACCTAGCTCTGCCACATGGCTCCCCTGGAAGGCTCCGGCTAATGCAACCCTGGCCGGCTCTCATGCCGGAAAACCCACCAACAACCCAACAATCAATAGCAGCCCGCCCCGTCGCAATCCTGCTCACCTGGATCCAGTCAGAGCACCCAGCTGTTGCTCGGTCCTCCTAGCCATAACCCCCCACCCCAGGAAGTCAGTGCGCCTTCTCTGGCCCCCTTTCCCAGGACCAGAGAACCTCCCCCAGGAGCTGAATAAATGGGCATTTAATTTTCTCATACTGGCCTCAGTTTCCTCATTTTAAACTCGGCAATAACCCTTACAATG